AATCTTGAGGCTTCTTTTGCATACAATGGGGAGAAATCGGATTACACGATTACCAGTTTTGGGTCCCAATCCAGATTTCGATTCTGGTCATGTTTTCGGTCACGTTTTCAACGATTGTTACATGACGGCTTTAACTGGATTTCTCTCTAACACTATATACTGGATTAGTAAAGATGTAAAGGTCCTTAAGACCATTTTCGCTAAATTGTGAGTTGTTTGTTGCAGTGCTATTTTCAATATTATTGTAATTCAGAACTGCTAATAAATATTTTTTCTGAGGTTTGCACCTCTTTTAGATCAGTTTACTGTGTAGAACAAGTTTAATTAATAGTCCAAAGTCAATTTACTTAGTAGTTATTGCTCTATGTTTGATATAAAATTTTTCTTCTTTTGTCCAATTTTGGTAAAGTGATCTACAAAAAGAGTATTACAACAATATCATCAATATCATTAATAATAATAATCAACAACAATACCAACAACAACAACAACCACTATTTCAAAACCTACCTTATTCTTAGGAACAACAATAACAACAACAACAGCAACAATAGCAACAATAGTAACAAACAAATAATTAACAACAACAGTCAACACAAACTAATACTTCTAATAATCAACAAAAAATTAAAACCAACATAACATTTGACTAGCTTGCTAATTTCCCAATCTCTAATAATATAAAAAACAAATTACAACTTCAAACAAAATTCTCAAAAAAAAATTTCATGATTTCTATTCTAGCAAAGAAATCAACCTGAAACTTCTAAACAAAAGGCTCTTAAAACCAGCTTTTATCACTTTATTCACAAAATAACTAGAGACAAACCTGAATTTTTTATCAAATTTATCTAAAAAACTAATCCTAATACTGATAAAGCAATTACTATTCTTTTCAATATATTTGAAGAAACTCTTAAAAAACTTATTCTAATATTTACAACAATTCTTTTCACAAAACTCAACTACCCTAAAATCTTTGTCTCTTTAGCTACTATCCTCTTATATATTAGCCAAATCATCTTTAACTCTGCATTAACTTAGCTAGAATTCATCTATATCTCTCAAACAACTATCAAGCAATTGATTACATCAAATTTGCTGAAGACTTCCAACTCCAATCTAAAAGATTTAATATTATATCAAAGTATCTAACTTTCACAAAGAAAAACAATATATTATAATTAGATCTGATAATAAATTCAATGTTTATCTTGATTTTAATATTCCAAAAACATTCTTTTATCAGAAACTTAATATTTCATCTCTTGCAAACTCTTTAGACTATTTAAAACAATGTTTTAAACAACTTTTCCCAACATACAATTGACAATTTACCCAAACACTTGATAAAACTAAAGTATTTAACTCTTTAAAATATCAAATTCAACAAAAATTTATTTCTTATCTTAAAGAAACCCTACCTACAGAAATACAATTTCAATAACCTCACAATTTATTAGAATATCAAAATGAAAGTATAAAACTAGCCAACTTTTATATTCTTATTTGTAAAGAAGAAACTTATTCTTACTTAGAAAAAACAGAACTCAAAAACAAAAAAAAAGAACTAGAAAATACAAACCCATCTATTACAACTTCTCTACCTCAACTTCAACACAACTTTTCATAATTATTAAATGACATCTTTAATTAATTATATACAGATATTCCAAAGCAAGAAAATAAAATCTGGAAACAATCTGAAATTGATCTATCCAAATTCTACAAAAATAGTAAATATGAAGCATTTTTTAACAAACAAATCTCTACCTCTTTTCTTGATGAGCTTGCAACAGAAATGAAAAAATCTGCATGCATGTTTCAACTAATCTTAAATGTCACAACTACTATTTTTATTTATATTTAAATTTATACCAAAATATTGCAACACAAAACCATTATATTGACAAACTTGACAAACAAAAAGCAGTAGAACTTATTACCTTTAAGCCTACTAGCACTGAACTATTAACAAGGATTTTAACATTCTTTAAGTCTTTTGACAAATCACTAACATATCCACAAATCAATATCTACTACTAAGAAACAGTCTATCCAAAGACAAACAAAATATTACAAGACAAATTTAAAATGTCTTACTCAATACTCTTCTTAATTAAAAAATCATTCTTTCTTAAAGAAACCTTTTTTTAATAAATCTGTCTTCTATTACCCCCATAGATGCAGCTACCACCTTATTAAGAGTTACATCTCTCATAGTTGATAAAAAAAATGATGTAAATGGACAGGTGGTAAAGCCTATTTATGTAAAGAGCCAAGTTAATAACAGTCAGACTCAATATACAGAGCTGACTATAGTATCCTCCACAGCTGTGCAAGCCAAGTTTCAAATATTGAATAATCCTGTAGAAGACAATCCAACCTTTTATGTTCCTATTTTCAACACTCTACCTTCTGCAAGAACAAACACATGTTATAACAAATTCCTACTACTATAAATCTGCTTATCATATATTACTATATAACATTTAGAGAATTTCTATTCTATCTTCAAAAACATTTCTTCAAACATAGTTTTAATATATCTATTAATCATAACAAAACTGAGCTACACATATACACTAACCTTTTAGATTCTATTTTGCATAAACATCATCCTATCCAACCTTTTCAATATAAACTATACAAGCACTTACCTCTACTAACAACACTAAACAATATTTTATCTAACACCTACCCATTCTCACTTGATCAACTGTTTCTTACTGATTCATCTTTAGTATCCTTACTTACTAACTTATTATCTACTTCTGTATCTAATCTTACAGCCTTCTTGTAAGAGACTATCTCTGAATCTACATCTTCTAACTTAATAGCTAAAACATCTACATCTAACTCATACAAACCACTTTATTTGTCAATATGTACATATAATACATGAGGATATAATAACAACTTAAAACAACAAACATAGAAGGATTACTGTTGTTATCCTATATCTACTTTTTTTAAAATAGTAGGTAACTAGAGTGATCTTAGACAATGAACACTTTTTGTAACCTTACTTGTTACTATGTTATAACTAAGTCAGAAAACATTTTATTTTAGAAAACTTAACAAAAAAGATTTAAGTTAATTTGCAATTATGAAAGAGGCTACAATTAAAAGTATATAAGAATACTAATAACTGTTTATTCTGGGTACTATAAAGTAGTAGTTTATTAGTAAAAAAGTATGAAGACTCAATATTGAACTTGGGGTCCACATCTGCCACTTTTATACTTTTTGGCTACATAGTGAATGTAACAGCCTATATCTTTTACATATACAAGATATTTTACAACTACTATTAATAAAATAAATAAGATATGTTTGATATATAAAATAAATAAACTAAATAATATATATAAACTAAATATAATATAAAATATAGATGCTTCAAAATGCATAAATGTTATATATGTTATATGTATGATATTTTGTGCAATTATCATTCAACCAATCAGATTGCAGCTTTCTTATTAATTTGGTTATTAGATCTAATTTTGGAATCCTGTAATCAGAAATGAATAATCTATACCTCATTAGAACCAACTCAGTAAGCTGATTTGAATAGTGGTGGTTTTATCAAATTCTGTCCAATGTTTCAAGAGTTATGATTGTTTTTGTAGGTTAACAATAGGAAGGCATACATATGTAGGTTAGCAGTTGAGAGTATGTTTAAGGAGTTGTATACTAAACAGATTTCACATAAAGCTGTGAAGCAGAGTATCAGATTATATATTAAGATTGTAGAAGAGATGTTCAGAAAAGAAATTTGGTGATGAAGATGTAGAACAGTAGTTAAATGGGTGAAAAAAAATGGAATAACAACAAAATTAAAATGAAGAAGAGACAAGACAGTTGAAAATAGTGAAGCAATATAAAGAAAGTGAAAAGTAAAGAAACATCAGTGAATAAGGTCAGAGGAGAGAAATACAAAGAAAGGGAGATGGAATAGAGGCAGTTGTTTATGAAAGGTGTGGATGAAATAATACAGAATAAAAATAGTCCATTTTGGTTCAGTTCTTAACAAAGCTGACAAAGTTTCCTAATCTAGGAATAGGTTGGTGCAACAAGTCACATTTAAGTGCAGTTTTTGTACTTGAATGATGCCAAGCTTGCAATTGCAAAGGTGAATTACTAGAAATAGATAATGTTTCAATTAGTAAAATTTTGTATTAAAGTTCTAACAAGACTGTCAAAAAATAATAAAAAAAAAATATGTTAATCAAAATATCCAAAATAATTATCTTATTGATAATTGTATGATATATTATTAAATATATATAATTTAATAATGTAATATAAAGATGATAATTTAAAGATAGTTATAAATTTGAAACATCTCAAATAATATTCTAAATATAATAATAAAATATCATTAAGTAAATAAAGAAAATAATTATTAATATTTTGATAATTAGGTAAATTGTCAAAAGATATACTATTGGCTTGCTAATAAATTTTTTTGTTATTTTAAATGATATTTTGTTAATATTTTCAATATTTTATTGATTTATATATATATAAAATATATTACTATATCTTCTTAAAATTTTAATGATAATTTATTTATAATATATATATCATTTACTGATATTTAATAATATTAAAATTACTTTCTGTTATAATTATTTACCAATAATTAATGAAATAAAATATATGTTTATATCATCTTAATTATATTTAAGTAATATTTTAATCAATTGAATATATTTAATATAATATTTAATAATATTTATTTATTAATAGTTGAATATTTGCTTATTTGTAAAATATCAGTTCATATTTTTTTGTGAAATTAAGAATAATATAATATATATTTATATATATAAATATCACTTTATTATATAATATTCATTTATTAGATATTTAAATTTACTTATGCTAATATTTATATAATATTAACTAATATCTATTTATTATTTAATATACTATTATATTATATAAAAATATATAATAAAATATATAATATTTTTATTTATCATTTTTTTTCATTTTTTCTTTTCTTTTTCTTTATCTTTGTCTCTTTTTTTATTATTTTTTTTTATCTTTTTTTTTGCATTATACCTTCATCTTCACTTTTGTTTTTATTTTTACTTTCATCTTCAGCTTCACTCTTACCTTTACCCTTACCTTTACTCTCACCTTCACTATTATCTTTACTTTTATTATTATCTACTCAATATACTGTGAGTCTTTTTTTTCTCCTACTTGTATTAATCTACTAGTCCTTATTATAGATATTTTTGGTCTTGTTGTTAATAGGCTTGCAGTTACTTCAGCTAATATACTTGCTATTGTTGCTGCTGGTATTCTTGCTATTGTTGCTGCTAATATTCTTGATATTAATGCCAATAATATACTTACTGTTGTTGCTACTAGTATGCTTGCTATTATTGCTACTAGTATGCTTGTAGTTGTTGCTGCTAGTATGCTTGTGATTGTTGTTGTTATGATTTCTTAAAGACTTGGTAAGAAAGAACTTTTTTTTCTTCTTTCTGTTCCGGATTTTTTACTTTTTTTATATATTACAACTTTATTATTATTATCATTATTATCTTTTTTTCTTTTATTAGTTTTTTTTACACCAACTTCTTCTTTATTCTGCTTATGCTTGGCTTTTTTTTTTTTTTCTCTTTTGAGTTTTTATCTCTAGTTGAATAATCTGCATCAAATTCTGGTTCCAAAATATTATAATGGCTTAGTATATTAGCAGATAATGCCTAGTTAGAACAGTACATAGTAGAGTCTTATTCCTATCTATATGACCTTCATAGTGCCATTTGTACATTCTATTATTTTTGGTTGAAGAGACTTTACATATAGATCAATATGTTTGTAAAACATTCTTTTTAACTAAATATAATATTAGTATTAAAAAAATAGCTTATCATTTAATATAACTATAAAGAACATATATTATTAAATTAGCTGATATTATACAAATACATAATGCTAACTAATTTAATAGAATATAATATACTAACATGCTTTTCATATCACTACTTGTCTACACATACTAATTTTTTTATTTTTTCTTTACTTTTTTTTGTTGCCTCATTATCAGTCACCTATACTTTATCAGAATAGTATGCATTATCACTTTTACTTCTTATTAACAACTCCAAATCATTATATGAATATCATGCAATTTTTTTATTACTTAATTTAATTAAATATATTAGTACTTTACATCTTCTTTTCTTCTTCTAAATAATAATAATAATAATAATAATAATAATTTATATAAGGATTATATAAAATAGCACATATGCACTATAGTGCTCTATCTCTTAACCAATAAAATTTGAGAATATATTATATGATATTTAAGCATTCAAATTAATCAAACTGTGTGTAACATTGGATCAAATATGTGTAATATCTACTTCTGGGGTTGTCTAAAGTGTAGCAGAATTACTTAATGACTGACCAATAATATTACAAAATTTTGATGATCTTCGACGAAGCAAATAAAAAAAAAAATTAAAAAACCTGTAAAATACAAAAAATAGCAGTCTAAATATGCCTTGGGTAGGTTAAATAAAAATGTCAGGAAGGCAATTTTGCATATATATAATTACCTATAACCCTAACTTAAGTTGACCCTAACTCTAAAGTTAATTTGATAAAATATATATTAGAATCTGCTGTCTTCTACTTTTGCATTCTAATTAAGTATTACTTAAACTTAGCATTCTAATTAAATGACATAAAGGCATCATTAATCTTTTTCAAATATTATAAAATTTTTCCAATATGGATACTCTATATAACATGTATATGCTGTACATATGTATATATACTAAATTTAATGAAAAAGCTAATCAAATATGCATATATATATATACACATATATGTATATACATATATATATACATGCATACTTACTTAAATAATGTATGTACATACTAGATAATGTTGCTAATATACATGTCACCCTCAATTTAAGTGTTGGTTCTAGTGTCGCTAATAATTAATATCACATTATTTTTCATATACGTATCATTTATTAAACTTACATGTAGACCAGCAATTCACATGCTTAGACACAAAAATAGGTGACTTTATCAAAATCTGATTGCCCTAATAGATACTAATTTAATTCTAATTCTTTTTCGATTTACATAAAACAAGATACTGTCATATACAGGGTTGTGGTTACCAAGGTGTGACATATGTATATATGTAAGTTACTCAATAGTTACCATGAAAATTAATATACTATTGATTAAAACTAAAAAGATTCAGGCAAACTTACTAGTAACTGACTAGTAACTTACCAATATTAGATTAACAAAATAAAAAAATAAAGCACATGAAACAAACTTTCTTAAAAGCACTAATAAAACTATCAAGACAGCTTTAATACCCTAACTCAAAATCAATCTAACAGCATCTAATTGTAGATATTAAATTTTAACTCAATTATTAGGCTAGCATTTTAAATCACTTCAGTTTACAATTATAACCTCAATTTGCACTATTGAACAAGCAATTCATATACTAACTATCTCATTAATTAAATTATGTTTTGCAGTTTTTTTGATAATGGCTAACCTTATCACATTTCTTACAATGTCTTTACTGTTTTTTGGTACTTCTTTTTTTATACACTGATTTGAAGCATTTAGTGCCTGTCAGTCAGCCTTTTTCATGCCTTTTTTTAGGATTCTGTAATACAAAATCTCTATTTTCTTTATTACTATTGATTTCATCTCCTGATGAGCTTTCAGATGATTTATCAACACTTTTTGTAAATTCTTTTAACAGATCGATAAGTCATTGTGAATTTGATCAACTTGTTAAGGCTTTGTTAAGAGCCTTCTTATAAGTACTATGTAGCTCTCTATAAATCTTTTTTTGTTGAAGTATAGTAAGACTCTTTTTAAAAAAATCTTGGTTATTCTGATTAAATGCATATAAATAAGAAATAGGAAAAACAGTTTTTTCTGTTAATATTTTCTCATAAAATTTATCTGCTTTTAAAAAAGGTTCTTTAGACATGTCAGCATTATCATAGTACCAACAAGAAGGAATTAGCCGAATATGAAATTTGGCATTGTCTGTTGTAAGCATTATTCGAAAATAATGCTTACAAATAATACCCTGTTGGATGATTATTAAGCATGAATACACATAAGACTAATTGTTTAATAATAATACATAATGTTTTGTGGTAACAGAATTACCAACATTCACATACTATACTTTAATTATATTGTTTAATCCTCTTACTAAATGAATAAGTTCTTTTAGCAGTATTTGTTATATGTTTGCTACTGATGCATCAAGTATTACTATTTCTTGATTGTCACTACAGAGCCTCTATAATTATAAAAAAGTTATTAAATAATTCATAAAATGAGTGATACTAAGAGAAAAAGTACCCCAATCATATAGGGTTTATATAATTGGAATGCCTTTTTCCTTAGTATCACTTAAATAATAAATAAGCTAAAAAAAATTATCTCGATATCATTATTTAGAAGTTTATTAACTTCATAATAAACAGACTAGTTAATTTTGGCATGTTGTTTTTGTAATATAATAGGCATAAGAATTTTTTCTAAACATATATCGATTTTTTTAAAAAGGAAATTTGTTTTGTTTTGACTTCTAATACAAGAGACAGATAATTTCCAAAAGATATATTCTTCTTTTTTGTCTTGAAAATCCAAAAGACGATGAATTTCATTCATTAATTCATATAAAGAAATGTTTGAACTATATAATAATCGTTTTAAGCACCCATTCACTGATTCTATGTGGGAAGATGATATCATACCACCAGTGAATTTAAAACATATAAAACAGTGGGCCCAATAGGCCTTGTTGTGATATAATACTTCAAGATAAGAACTAGCCTTAGGAAAATTTCAACAATGATCTTTAAACCTTCTTTTAAAAGTTTCTTTTGCAAGACTGTTTTTATATATATAAAAAGCTTCAATAAAATTTTCATAATTACTTGCAAGTGAATTTCTTAGATGCTTGTTAATATTTTGTGTCATGTAGAAAGCACAATGAATCAAATAGCTTTGAACAAATACTTGGTGAACTGCAGAATCTACTGTGAGATCTGTGTCAGTTATTATAACAGCTGGCTGCTTATCAGTTGCTTTTAATATTTCTTTAAACATCCAAACATGAGATTCCATGCTTTCATCTGATAATAAAGCTTGCATGAGAAGTATATTGTAATGATTATGATTAAATCCTACAAACATTGATAATACCATGCCATGACAATTTGTTTTATAAGTCATATTATTTAAAACACAGTCTGAAAATTGTATCTAATTTTCAACTTGTTCGGAGGTTATCCATAGTAACTTTGTGAATGTATTATCCTCATCCCAACTCCTAACAACAATCTACTGAGGGTCATGTTCTTTTTGGCTATCTAGCCAATTGGACATCAATATCACATCATTTTCTAAAGTTTTAGTAGTCAGCTGAAACTTTTGAATAGCAGCATACAAATCTTTTGAATGTATTGGCTAAGCAGAATACTTCTCTTCTAAAAACTTTTACTGCACCATTGCCCCAAATTTATAATGGGAAGTTAAAAATTTTATATTATTAATTATTTCAGATATAAACTTTTTACTTTCTTCGAAATTAATCTTTTCAACACTTAGAGAATGATTATGCTTATTGACAATCTTATTAATATATATATAAGATTCAGGATTATTAGGCTTGGGCCATGAAGCATTAATAAGAAATGGACAATTAATTTTTTTTGTAACTGAATCTTTTTTTGATTTTGAATTGTGAGAACGAGAATGATCACATAAGTATGTATGCCTTCTTATAATTCTGTCTTCTCATTTTATGCGATCTTTTTTGATACAGAAGTCTTTTTTTTTAGCTCACTCATAAATAAATAAATCACATTCCTCTTATGTTAAAAAAACCTTGGTACTGAACAAATTGGAGCTTGTAACTTCCTCAAAAGAAGTTAATAGACTAGTATTTTCAACTTCATTAGTGTATTCAGTATGATCGCTCTCCTCAAACATTTTAGTCATATTTAGAACCTAAAGTTTATACTTGGTAAGATAATGCCTAACTTACTAACAAAGCAAGCACTAATCAAAGAAAAAAAATCTTGAATATGTACAAAAAAGACTGCAGGTGTAGAAAAGTCCTAATGATGCAAAAAAAAACCTAGTGGTATGAAAAAGCATAAGGAATGTAAAAAAGACCTTATAATACAAAAAAAGACCTACAGACATAAAAAAAAAAAATAAGACCTAGATGCATAATACTATATAAACTAGTGACATAATAAAAAAAAAAAAATACCTAATGATGCAAGAAAGAGCTAGTAATCTAGATAAAAGGCCTAATGACACAAAAAAACCTGCTGATACAAAAAAAAAGACCTGCTGGTGCAAAAAACAACCTAATAATGCAAAACAAAAGATCTGGAGATATAAAAAAAAAGAAAAAAAATTCTAGTGGCATAATATAAACTATCAAATACCTAGAAGCATGACAAAAATGATCTAATAACACAAATGAAGCTTAAAGATGCAAAGAGATGACCCTGGCAGTGCAAAAGATCAGGTGATGCAAAAAATAACTGGTAACGCAGCGATCTGATGGTGCAAAAGACAAACTGATAATGCAAAAAAAATGAGATATAAAAAAAAAGTCTCTGGATATATAAAAGTAATCTAGCAACATCATAATAAAGCAAAAAAATAGATCTGATAGCATGAAAAAAAATCTAGTGGCACAAAAGCGACATGAAATAACCTGAAAAAACAAAAAAGGCCTGGTAGTTAAAAAAAGACTTGATGGCAAAAAAAAAGACTTGTTACAGTAAAATAAAAGCCTAAAGAAACACTTGAAGACACCAAAAATACTTGGAATGTAAAAAGAAACTTGGAGACACAGAAAAGACCTGTCAACACAAGACTTGATAATGTAAAAAAAGCTGGTGACATAAAAAAAAAGGCCTGGTGACATAAAAAAAAGGCTCAGTGATGTAAAAAAAGACCTTACAATGTAGAATAAAGCTCAATGAAGGTAAAAAAACTTTGGCGATATGAAAACATACAAGACCTTGTATAGTAAAACACTTTACACAACAAAAAAAGGCCTTACAACATAAAAACCTATGATCAATGATGTAAAGAAGAGGATCAGAAATATTCTATGATTTGTTTTATTTATATCTCAGATCAGACTTATAGACTATTAAAATATATGTAATCATAAATGCAAACTATTAAAATATATATAATGATGTATAATGATATTACATAGTAATACAAAGGGGTGCTATAGTGCATATATGCTATTTTATATAATTCTTTATATAATGTCTAATTTTATATTATACTTACCTTATTTATCTTGTATTTTTATTCATTCTAGACTGATTATATTCCTTTAAAGTTGAACTAACATTTATCATTGCTGTCTGTTTTTGTGTCTTATGATGTTGTTGTAATATCTTCTTAATAGCCTCAGAATATGTTTGTAACTAGACAGATTCTTTATTATTGGCAGAATTGACTTCTTCTTTATAGTCTTCATCTGTAAAAACCAAGTTTTATTTGTCTGTAGTTTAATAGCAGACAATTCACTTTCTTCTGTTAATATTTTAATTTTATTCTAAAAAATAAAAATATTCAAAAACGATGTGAGCCAAATAATAATAATAATAAGGGTTTAAATCTATTACCTATTTCATATTTAAAATTAACTAATATCTTACTAATATCTCTATCACCTAAAATTCATTAGAATAATAGATTTAACCTCAATTAATAATAAAATATATTATATATAGATGAACTATTTGTTTATTTATTAGTTGTTTTGAAGGCTAACTATTTTCAGAACTACTACTGCTAGAGCTTTAATTTCTATTCCTTCTTGAACCTTTGTTAGCCATACTGCTAGCTCAACTTTTTTTGCTATTATTACTAGTAGTGCTTATACTACTAGAGCCTGGAAGAGAGTAACTTTTTTTCTTATTCTTTTCTTTACTTTTGAGCATATCAAGTGCTATTTGAACTGTTTTTGTGATATATTCTACTGTTACTAAAATAAGTTAATAATTTATTACTACTATATTGGCTAAATATTATATGTAATAATTCTTATATTTCTTCTTATTTTATGCTTTCTCTTTTTAGCCATCTTGTTGTTTTTGGCTTTTAGTAAATGCTTTTCTTTTTCCATTTTGATTTTTGAAAAAATTTAAAATTAATAAAGATATTGTATAATTAACTCAACTTGACAAATACCAAGATACCTTTCTTTTATAATTGAATGAATGCTAAATATAAAATATTAAATAATATAAATATTATATTAATACCATTATAATATTATTAGTTAAATAAATGATTACATTAAAATAATATATCTTTTGCTTAAAAAAATATACTTATAAATTTATTAGTTTTTAATTAATATGAATTCTTGTAATACTCTTCTATACTTAAATAAAAAATTGCATATCATAAGTATTTAATAAATATTGGTACAATATCATTAATTAAATAAATGATTACATTAATATAATTTATCTTTGCTTTGAATATAAACTTACAAACTTATTAGTTTTTGATTAATATGAATTCTTGTAATGTTCTTCTGTACTTAAATAAAAAATTGCATATTATAAATATTTAATAATTAACAGTATAATATTATTAGTTAAATAAATAACTGCATTAAAATAATTTAATTTTGCTTTAATGATATTTTTACAAACTTATTAGTTTCTAATTAATATAAATTCTTGTAATGTTCTTTTGTATTCAAATAAAAAATTGCATATTATAAATATTAAATTTATATTAGTATCTCTTAAACTATATTCTAGGCAAATTTGCCTGGAAAATTAAATTGTATTTAGCATTTTTTAAATAAAATAATAATTTATTAATAATATAAGGTATACTTTGCTTATGAAATATATTCTTAAGAACATATTTTATAAACTTTATTATAAAAAATTTTTTTCAGCCAAAAAACTCTTTCTACTGATCCTTATAACCAAAATCAGAACAAAAAGAAAACTATAGAAATCATAAAAACTAGCAAGTAAAAGCATAGTTGTCAACTAAGCAAAGTTAAAGCTTGTTAAAAATTAAATATAGTTTGTTAAAATAGTAGACCAAGTTGATAGCAATACAATAGCCACCTTTAATTTTTAGAGGAAATTTTGCTTGTTATTAAAAATTTTAATAGAAAAAAGAAAAAACACAAAAACTCTATACTGTAGATTATATACATAATACATAAAACAAGTTAAAGTAAACAGTAAACACAACAAAACAAATAAACAAATATGCAATCTTGCAGATAAACAAATAAATACAGATATAAATAAAAAAATACATGTTGAATATATACAATATAAATATAAAAATAAAGCAAAGAAATGTGATACAAAAAGTTTAACCAGTTTCTACTGAAATTGACTGGTGCAAGAAATTAGAAAAATATCATGACATGTTTAATAAATCTGACAGAATACAAAAAGAATTACTAAACAGTTATAAATCAAGAGTTTTAAGAAAAGATAAGAAATTGGCCAGACTAGTTGGCACTGAAGCAGTTTTAGTTTGTATATTTAGAAACTTAATTGAAGTATATAATTACTGTAAGTATATACGAGTAAGAGACAGCAAAAAACCAAAAAAGAATAATGTAGAGCAATTAAACAAAAACAAAATAAATAAAGAAGTATTGCTAGAGCAAGAATATAGGTGCATAAATTACAGTATGCTAGAAAAGCAAGCAGAAAAAAGTTCAGTAAAGAAAAATAAAGAAAAAAAAAGAAGTAAGACAGAGGAAAATAATCAGCAGAAGAACACAACTGATGACATAAGAATAAGTAAAAAGTATAAGACAGACAAAAAAAAAGTAGTTCACAAAGAAGAAAAAAACCTAAAGTAACTATGAACATTGAACAAATACAGAAAGAACAGATAGAGAACAAAGCCATATAGATAAAACAATAAGAATACATGAAGATAGCAAGTTAGAAAACAATGTTTATACAATGTAGAACATTCTAATAGAAGTAAGACTAGCATGTATAAGAAAGTGTCTTCAGTTTTACAATAGAATTAGGTTCATTTAGTGAAAAAGTTTTGGTAATAGCAAAACTGCAATATTTGCTGTTGAGTTTAAAAATGAGAACAGAAAATCAATACTTGATCAGGCATAGTCAGTGTACTTTGAGGAAGACAAAACTTGTAGAGTTACCTCAGATACTTTTGCAAGAGAGATATTAGAAAGTAGAGTATTATATTAGGCAATAATTTGAAATGTTCTAATAACAGCAATAGAGGTACTATTATTAAGACAACTAAGAGCAATAAAGACAAAAGCAGTTTATATTTCAGTAAACAGAAACAAAAACCAATGAAAAACTGCATCAGTTTACTTTGAAACAGAAGAAGACTTAATAATGGCTATCAGTAAGAAGCTATACTATTATGACACAAGATTAGAGTAGTATAATAAAATAGTATTCAAGAACATTAAAATCAAAAAAGAAGAAAACAAAGATGTAAAAGAATATTATATGAATAGAAGTTCATAGCATAGAAGACACTTAAAAAGTCCAAAAAACATTAAGAAGAAAAAGAGTAATAAAGAAAACCAACAGAAAAAAGATAAAGAAGTCGATAGGAAATATAATGATAACATGCAGACAAAAGTAATATATACAAAGAAGTCAAAAAACAAACTACAAGATGTTCTTAGTAGAATATTAAGAAGACTAGATAATATTGAAAAAAGACAATTAGAGAGCCTGCTTCCAAATCACTCCTAAAAGTTGCTATAGGTGTTCTTCAAAAAAAAGTAACTACTTTGTCAGATATAGAGGTAAAGAGCATTAGTGAGAAGTTTAAATATAATAAAAGCAAACATAACAAAAGTAGAAAAAGTATAACAAGTATTAAGATAGCATGTTATAACATAAATAGAATAAAGTGTAACAAGATTAAACTGAGAACAATAGTTGAATAGGCAATAGAAGAAGAAGTTGATATTCTGGGATTAGTAAAAACAAATAGCAACAGTAATAAACTAAAATACAGTTTAGAGAACAATCACTACAAAGGTGTTTGATCACAAAGTGAAAGTATGAAGAAAAAGTGATTAGATGTTAGGTTATTAGTAAGTCAAAAATAGGAGAAACATATAAAAAAAATTTGTAGATTTTAGAAATACTTAATCGGAGCAAAATTCTACTTTAAGCAGATAGAAATAATGATAGTGGTGGTATATATCCTTCCAAGTAACAAAGAAAAAACAAGAAAATTACAACAAAGAATAGTAAATATATATGTGAAAAAAGCAAGAAACTCACAGTTCATAGTGATGAGTAACTTTAATTATATGGTAAATAGCAAGTTAGATAAAATGAGCAGTAGTAAAAACAATTGTAGCAAATCATTTCTACTACATAAATGGCTAATAAGACAGGAATTTGGTGATACATATAGAATCTGCAACCTAGAATTAAGAGGTTATATTTGGGCAGAACAAGACATACAAATGAGAATTGACCAAATATGGGTTTCAGAAGAACTACAACTAGGATTGGAACAGACAGAAATAATTGATGTAGGATTTATAATATCAAGTGATCATACATTGTTAGTGCAATGTTAATATTCAAATACTTGATCCAAACACATAGTAGAGCAGAAATAAAAAAAAAAGAATTAACAAGAACAATTTATTTGTATGATAAGGTAACAAAAAAAAATTAAAAAGATTATCAAGTAGATCTCAAAAATTACTTATCTAAGAATAGAAGGCTTAAAGTATTTGAAGAAGTTGGGTATAGCATTAATATAGACAAAGTATAAGATATAATATTCTGTGCAATAAAAGATGCAGTAAATAAAAACATACCAAAAAGGAAAATAATCCAAAGAAATAGTAATATTGAAAGAAAGAAAAGAACAATACTGCTATACAAAGACATAGTAGTACTGAGTAAGCTACTGCAGAAGACTAAGAAGTTGGTTAAAAGAAAAAAAAATGAACTAAACTTAGAGAAAGTCAACATAAAGATAGATAAGATAAACATAGAATATGGTTTAGAAATAGGTTATATAAGAGAAGACAGAATAGCAGATCTTGAATAATAGTGGCAGTTAACAAAAAAGCAGTAGCAAGCATTAAGAATATTAGAAAGAGTGAAAGAAGACAAGCATACAAGAAATAAGATTAATACTGCAGTAGATAGAAGATGCAAAAGAATTGATAAAGAAGTAGGAAGAATACTTACTAGTATTTTAAACAAACTATTTAACAAAATTAAAATAGATTGAGTGTTAAAATAGAAAGAAGATGGATGCTTATTAATCAGTAAATCAAATGCAGTATTAGAGCAGACAAAAGAACATTTTAGTAAGCAGTTCAAACAGAGAGACATGGCTAAAGATGAAGAAGTAACAGAAGAGTTTTACAAGCTACTTGTAGAAGTCAGAGAAGAGTGGTATTTAGAGTTAAAGACAGAAATAACAATTGAAGAATAGATAGAGGCAATAGGAGAAACCAAAAATAAAACAGCATTAGGCATATCGAATATTGAATACAGACTAATCAAGAGTGCAAGTAGTAAAATATAAAAAGTCTTTAGAAAAGTTGCAGATATGTATTTGAAGCTAGAAAAGATACCATTCAAGTGGAAGTTAGTGCAAATATATCCAATCCCAAAAGGTGAGAATTGGAGTTACAAGCTTTGTAATATTAGACCAATTGACTATTAGAAATATTTAAAAAATGCTTAACTAAGGTAGTAGCAAAAAGAATGTCTAGTATAATAAAAGAAAAAGAAATACTTAAGAGCCTAAACTTTGCTGGTCTACTTAGAAACTCAACAGAAGAAGAAATACATATTGTAGAAATAATAAGAGAAGATGCAAAAGAAAGTAATAAAAAGTTGTAGTTACTAATGTAGGACATGAAGAAAGCATACAATTCAGTATCAATAAAGTCACTTCAACTAGCATTATAGAGAATTAAGCTATCAGATGAAATAGTAAGGTTTATCATAGAGTTATATAGCAGAAAAAAAGTCTACATTATGACAGAGTTTGGATTGACAAAGATATTTATTGCTGAAGATGGGATTGAGCAAGAAAAAACAATTTTATTATTAGTCTGAAGGATATTTTATAACCCATTATTAAGAAGAATTCAAGATAATCAATGGTTAGAATATGAAATTGAAGCATATAAAGTGCATAACTTGCAAATGAACAGAGTTAAAATTAGAAAGACAAGACAAGCTGCAGTAGTATATGCTGATGATAAAACTTGGATGGCAAAGAGTAGAGAAGAGATGCAAGAAATCATTCAGATTTCACAAAGATTCTTAGATTCAATGATATTCAAATCAATAGTTCCAAGTCAAAGCTTTTGGTAGTTAACTCAGAGATAGAAAAAGAAGAGAAATCTGTTTAGATAAACAATTTTCAACTATAGGTTAAAGACAAACATGCACTAACAAGAATACTATAAGTTTGGTTAAGTATAGAAGCAAATGAAAGCTTAGTTGTTAAAAAGACAAGAAGAATTATACAAAAGTTTATATGAAGTATACAATTTAAGAAGTTAACTATCAGTCAGTTAATATACATTAATAATATATGTATAATACCAAAATTGATATACATGTTGCAAACCACAAAGGCATCTAAAAGGCAGCTAATTCAGTTGCACCAACTAGTAATTAAATTAATTAAGAACAAAGTAGAACTAGCCTCAACTATAGAGAATAGTGTAGTGATTGGAATCATATTAGTTTATAATTAGATATTTAGATTAAAATAATAATTCAATTTAAAATAAAAATTATATCAATTATAAAATCAATTTTATAAATAAAACTGATTTAAACCAGATTAAATCAGTTTTTAATCTATTTGATTTTTTTATTAAAAAGGTTTATGTCTCAGATGCATTTTTGCATAGATGATGCTGGCCTAAGTTAGATAATTTAATGCTAAGCATTAGCTGCAAAATTCACCTGATATACAAAACAAAAAAGTTTATAGTTATGTATATAAATATAAAATATCTTATTTATTGGTTGATATATAATGATATATATATACATATATATACTATAAATTAAAATGCTTAGAATAATACTTATAAAATCTTCATAAAAAATATATAATCATATATAATTAAGGAAAAATTTGTTCAATAATATTCATATTATATTTAAGAAATAAAATTCTTTCAAATAAAATTTTATTTAACTGTGTTTTTTTACTATTCATAATATTTTCACTATCTGAAAATAAACATTCATTATAGTAGAAGTAACAGAAATTAAAAGATATTTTTAAGCTAAATTAGAAAGAATTGGAAATTTTGTTTTTTTATTATTTTACCAAGTAAAAAGATTAGCATTATAGTTTAATTCTTTTACTTCTAAATATAAATCTACTTCGTCATGTTCTAATTGTTCTTGATTACCAAACATAAGATTAAGTAGTTTATTATTTATATTGGTATTAGTAGATTTATGATAAAAGTCAGATTAATTTGTATATTTTTGAACTAATCTCATACAGCTTCAATTGCTTGCTCTTGTTTTCATTTAAAAAATTTATCCATTTTTTTACATTGTAGATCCAAAAATATTGCAATTAGAGCACTTTCCAAAGGTAATTTTCAATAATGTTTTAAAGCTTTATATAAAGTTGCTTTTATTTTATAAACTAATCTTTTTATTTCAGTAAATTTATTTACATTTATCTTTTTAGCATCTATAGTAATTTCAATCTTATTATTATAATTATATTTACAATAATTTCTTCTTCATCAAATATTGTAGTAATATCATTATAATTTATTTATTATTATCAAATTCAGATTTAATTTGATAATCCTTATAATCATTTGCTTTAGGTTTACAATTTTGTAATAATACTTTAATTGCTGATAACATAAAACTTAAAGTAAAATAGGTACTACCTCCAAGCAAAGTAGTTGCTTCAGCAAAAGGTGCTAATAAATTTGTTAATTGTTTTAATATTTGCCATTCATTTTTAGTTAATATAATAGCATGAAGTTGTTTAGTATCTGTTTTGGAATTATAATCAGATTTAGCATCCAATGTTGCTAACATTATATCTAATGCTTTTTGAAACTGTAATAAATGTTTTCAAGATATATATAAAGAATTCCATCTAGTAAAAACATTTGAAATTTCTCAAATATAAGTTTCTTTTTGCTTATTAATTTCTTCTTTAGACATTCGAAGTACTTTTTAAGCTTCTATTAAACATTTAGTTTGTTTTGGTGATAATAAAAAATTAATTAATCTTTTAGTTCAAATAACTAATATCTTAGCAGGCTTAAGTTCTTTTCCAATTGCTAATTGGAGTGTATAGGCAGCACAGAGAATTCTGTCGATGTTTTTTATAATATTAATAGCTTTAACTATATTTATTGCATTATCACTTGTTATATAATTAACTTTATTATTTAACTTCCAATCATTAATAATTTCTTCTAAAACAATAGCAATTGTTTTAGAATCATGAGGATAAGGAACATAATGCATAGCTAAAGTAATCTCATTTAATTTAAATTCTGAATTAATAAAATGACAAGTAATACCAAAATAACTACTTTGAGATCAGGCAGTCCAAGTTACATAAAATAAGATTTTTATCAAATAATGTTTTTAATTCATTAGTTAAATAATTAAATGCCTGATAAATTAAAGTTTTAATATATTTGTTTGATGGCAATTTATAAGATAGATCTAATAAATTTATAAATTTAATAAAAGTATGACTTTTAAGTAAATAAAACAGTTAAGAACTTTAATTATAAATTTTACTAGTGCTTAATTAATTGCTTCTTTTCAATTAATATAATTAGTCATAGTTTTTTTAAATATAATATTAATTGTTAGTTGTAAGTTATTTATTTTATTTACAGCCAATTGCAGTTTTACAATTCTATAAGTAAGTAAATGAGTTGCAAAATTTGTTGTTGATCCTTGTGTATGAACTATAATTTCATATTTATATTTTTTTTTATTACCCTTTTTGTTAGGAATTAAAACTTTGCATTTGCCTATTTTTTTCTATTCTTTAGTTGGTAGTTCTTTATCAAAATGGTTTCAAATCTAACTAGCATTATTTCATTTTTTAGTTGTCTTTTTAGATGAAAAACTATTTGCAATCTTAGATTTATTTATTTCTTCTTCACTTTTTTCAGTTTCATAAAAACTATCAACTGATTTTATTAAATATTTTTTGTTATTCTTAGTTGCAGTCTCTAATTTTATACTTGAAAAATCATTGTCATCAATATGCATTTCATCATTTTCATTAGAATAATTAATTAATTGAAATATATTATTTTTGTCTTAAAATATTAATAAGCATATTAAATCTTTTATAAATTTAAATAATAACATTTTATATAAATATATTTATCTTGTGATAGATCCATTCATAATAAATAATAAGTTTATTAGAGAGCACAAAACAAACTTGAACCAGATTAACTACAAGTATTTTTTTATTCGTATTTATATTTTAATATTATTTAAAGATTATTTAAACTAATAAATAAAGTAATTTTAATACTTTAAATTAACTTGTTTAAGAATTATTTATATGTATATATTA